ACCAATTTAATAGGGATTGCTCTCTCAAAGAGCTATGTAAATACCCTAGTGTGGGCCTCTCTAGCTTTTTTATAAGGGATATACATCTCTAATCATCAGAAATAATCAATACACATTCTCCCAACGAGGAACCATACATATTCTGAACACATTGTTAAATGAATGCCACCCTAAATCTCTAATTTGCGGACACCTAGCTCTGTAATTCTCCTACTCTATCCATCTGCCGTCAGGGATAACCAATTCCAAATCTAAGAGGAAGAAGAAGAAATGATGCTTTAGAAGGAAGACACCTCTTTTGCCAAGAGCAGAGTCGAGAGAGCGTAAAGAGAGATAAAACGTATAAAGAAAAAGGGAAGGGAAAGTGCTACTGCCTTCCTTCTTTTTTTTTTTTTTCTAACTCTATTTATACTACACAAATAAATCCTAGTATAGATGATGAATCCAATAAAATAAAATAGCACACAAGTTACATGCAAAAAATAAAATAAAAAATTCGACCAAAAAATAAAAATAAAAACATTAGTTAAAAACAACTAACCATATTATTTAACAATAAAATTAAATTAGAGTCTTCACAAATCCGTATATGATCTGAATATAATGTATTCAATAGGATATTGATCGAGACATAGCCAATTATCCAAATAGATATGAATCTAATCTAATTATAACGAGCAAAGTTATTGTTTATTATCTTTGTCAAAAAGTTGTGTCCATGTATGTTATTAAGTTTCTTTATGTTCTTGTCTGTCACATTACAATTGATAATACCCAAAAGCCCACACCCATTTTGGGCCTCCAAGAAAGACCTCATTCTTAGTTCTTGTAATTCATTGGCTAGAGAATAACAATGATTTCATCTATTGTGCCCCAATTTTCTAAACCCAAAAAATAAAAGACCAGTAAGAATTAAGGCTAAACTGCCGATTTATTCTCTAAACTTTCGTTTAATTTTCAATTTCCCTTCTAAATTTTTTAATTGGAAAATCAAGGACTTAAACTAATTTTTTTGGCCAATTTCCCCTACCGTTAGTTTTCCATAGATTCGATCCAAATTAACGTTAACTCTTATCACGTGCACACCATATAACTCTCATTTGAGGACAAAAGTGTCACTTCACTAGATCTTCAGACACAAAAGCTATAGAATCCTATAGATTTGCATAGGTTGACATTATAGAAATCTAGGGTTTTCAATTATTTTAAAGAACAAAGCGACCGAACTATCCTCACATATTGTGCACATGCTTCCATTTAACAGAAATTTGGATGGAATGAATAAAAAAGTAACAGCAGGGGGAATTGGCCAAAAAAATTGGTTAAGTCCTAAATATTCCAATTGAAAAGTTTAGGGGGAAATCAAAAGTTAACGGAAAGTTCAGGAGGAAAATCGATAGTTTACTCTAAGAATTAAATAGGAGAAGATTCAAAGTTTTAGATGGATAGAACACACTTCACATCAAGGTTTGGGGAAAAACTTGAGTCCTGTCTTTGGTGGCATGCCTTTCCCCTTGATTGCTAACCAAAGGATAAAAATCATTCTTTGAAATTATTTTTCATACTTGGGCTATGTTGTAAATGACTTTGAGCTAATTGGACGTGAGAGTTTTCTTCTTCTTTTTCCGCCTTCTTCGGCTCTTTAACACATGCATCGTTGAAATTGAACTCAAGACATAATTTATGAAGGAAATCCTCAAAGAACATATTACACATCTTGTGACTCTCTCTCTCCCTATGCTTTTTGATAGGAACCTTTTTTGGTTGCATAACCCATCCTTTTTTACCTTACTAATGTTGCCAATTTTTTATTTTTTTTTGATACGCTAAGAGAATAAATTGGTAGCGAATTGGTCATTTTTAAAATTTGAACTTTGCTAATGTCGGCTAAATTACCAAATATGTTTTGTAATGCATTTCTTATTAATGTAGCTTATATTGTTTGGTAGTTGATATCCCTCATCCAAACACAACATAATTAATTGTTAAGTGCCCTAGTAAAGAAAAATTGAAGTAACTATAGCCTAAGTGGTAAGAGTAATACGAAAGGTAAATCAAACTGGAAGCACAATTCAACTCTGCCGATAGAGCGGGCTGTAAACTGTTTCGTTGGCTTTTTTGTTTCCATTGGTAGAGGGCACTCGAAAAGCACTAAAATAATGAGCTTCTAGATTACAGCACGTCGCTTTTGGTGTCTTATATTGTGGAGCGTTTTGATGGGTTTCTTTGAAAATGTTGGTGGAGAATCATTGACGTTTAAGGCACAATACCACCACCACACATTCATTGTCCGCGGGGTCGGTAGTGAATATATGTCTCCTCCTCCAGTCTACGCTTTATTGTTTTATTTACTTATACCAAGTTGAATAATTCATAATAGTCCCATTATTTCTTTTGGAAAAAAAATACTCCTATTTTTGTTGATCCCTCATATTTCATTAGGTATTTTCTTCTTCCTACTAACATTTATCTTCTAGCAAACTCAGTAAAAATTCAATACTAGTCATTTTGATTTAAAAAAAGAAAGAAAGAAGATATTGTATGTTGTATAAGCGACAATCATAAGAATATTTCACTAATCATTTTTTACCATGGTGTAAGATTATAATTCCACTCGAAAGATTTTATACTGGATATGGTTATACCTTTTATTACGTTATTAATGACGTGGTAATATTACGGCATCGTATACAAATGAGAAATGCTGTGTCTGAAAATTATATTGTTTTTTTCCCCAAAAGGGGACCAGTTGGGCTTTGCCATGACAATCTATCCTTTTTTTTTTAGCCACAATCTATCCTTTCAGGGGCTGGGAAGACGCACATTTGCATTTCACCCACCTATGACCACCATTGTGTGATTCACCAGTGCCAAGAATTGAAACCAGTGCGTGTCATGTGAAATATGAGCCTAGAATTCGTCCTCAGCCATTGGGCCGCCCCGTAGTGGTTGAAAATCATATTCTTTTTTTCAAGATTAACTAGTTCAAAGTAAATATTGCCAAAATAAAAACAAGAGAATTGTTATTGACACTCCAAAATTCTCATTTTGCACTCCAAATTGTGGTAGCTAAAATCCACTGTCTTCAGTCTTGACAAATTTGTATTGACAAAACAATCAACACCTTTGATAAAGACCAAAGCCTCACTCGCCCACGTGGTGGCAGGGGGGGTGGATGGGTGGGGGGGGGTCGACCAATGGATCTTCGATGCCTAAGTTAGTTTCTCTAAAAAGATTGAGTGTTTAGGGTTTGTATGCATAGCAAAAAGCTTACTAAAGTTTGGTGGAGAATTGGTATTTATAGGGAGGTGGCTGACCTAGGTGTAGGGTTTTTTTCCTACATGTGGCGACTTCCCATTGGACAAGGTTATGTAATCCGAAGGATGAATGAGGGAATAATGTTCCCAAGATATTAATGGAGAGATAATATCTTGGGATTAAGAATTCGAAAGACACAGAGTTTTATCCCGAAAGGGTGAACTATCGATTTAGTCCCTAAATTATCATCTGAATGAAAATTAGGTCCCTAAACTATTTTTTTTGTAAAATCAGTCCCTAAATACATTTAAAATTGTCAATTTCATCCCTACCATTATATTCATAGCTATTCTATGAAATCTTTCGTCAACTTAAATCACAAGACACATTTTAGTAGTTGATATTGTCATTTTTTCGCCTATAAGTTCTTAATGTTGCATATTGGCTAGAAATATAATTTTTGATTTACTCTCTAAAGCTATTGTTTGTCCTCCAAAGTGTATCACATGCAAGTCACATGACTTAAATTAAGGAAAATTTAAATTAAATAGCTTCAAATATAATATTAGGCATGTAATTAGCAAATTTTAATTAGTTTAAAGACTAATTTCTCGGAAAAATAGTTTATGGACTGAATTTTTGCTCGGAGAATAATTCAGCGGCTAAAACGGTAGTTCACCCTATATAGAAATGTTCTCTTGGTCACCTCCTCTGGTGAACAAGGAATGCATTATCACTCACCCTTGGATTTGATACAAGGGTTGGATATGCTTGCAATGTCTTAATGTTTTAATCTCATGATGATGGAGGTATCCCTAATTGATTATGATGAGGATTCCTTACTTGATTGAGTTGATCTTCAATTTGGAATGTATTAAACATAAGATTTAGTAATTAGTCCTATCTTTAATGTCATTTGACTTTTACATGCCACAAGCAGTGGAGCTTTAGTCAGTCGTTGTATGCCTTATCTATTTAATGACGGAAATCTTGTCTTCTTCGGGATAAGATCCACATGTCGCCTCTCGGATATTTGGGATTATTTTATGCTCCACACAAACTTTCCATATTTAGAAAAAAATTACACCTTTGAGGAGTGCAAAATAAGATTTTTAGAATGTCAGTAAAAGTTCCCAAAAAACAATTAAGAAAAATGAATAATTTTTTACAATTGTGAGTGAAATTTTGATGATAATCTCCCCACGCCTCCTCAAGAGTAAAAAACTTGATATTTTTTAGGGTTTGCACTCGACACACAAACTTGATAGTTTAAAGTTGCATGGAAAATGTCAGTTGGTACTATAGTCTAGTGGTATTCATTTTCACTTGTAAGTGAGAGGTCTTATGTTCGATTCTCGCTAAAAGCAAATTTGAACCACATTATTGTTAACTCAGTGTGATGCTAAGCCCCTCCCCCTTTCTCTTAGTGTGGATAATATCGTTTGTTTAAAAAAAAAAAAAAGTTGCATGAAAAATGCATGAATCGTTGGGGCAATATAGTGTGACTAATTATGGGAATAACATAATTAAATGGGTGAATGGAACAAGAAAAGCACACTTTCTGTCTTACCAGAAAACGGACCAAAGGGTAAGTTGAAAAGGGCGTTTCACTGGCCAAATTTAGCCGCATGGCCCAAAACAAATGCTTCTTCGTCTTCCCATCTGGTTCTTCTGGCCCCAATCTATATAACCCCAGATCTCCTCTCTCTTCTCCCATAGTCTCTCTCTCTCTCTCTCTGTGTGTGTGTGTGTGTGTGTGTAAAGGAGAAATAGTCTCTCTCTCTCTCTGTAAAGGAGAAAGAAGCTACAGGGAAGAAGCAAGAAGAAGAAAATAAGGGAAGAAAAAAGAAGGAATAAGTGGCGGGGTCCAGCTTCGGGCAAGCAAAGTCATTAGTAATGGCGCAGGACATAGAAGACAAGAAGCACTACTTGTTTCTCCACCACCCATTGCCCAATATTTCAGGTGCATTGACCAAAATGCCCTTCAAAACTAAGGGGAGGTACCCTACATATGAAGTCATTCCATTGATCCATTGGGGCATGATGAGAGGTCACTTTCAAACAAATCCCAAGGATGATTAAGTGGTAGATCAACGAATGTAACTGATCTCTTATAGGTTTTGTGTAGAGAGAGTACCAACTCAACCAACACCATTCCTTGCGAGAAATTTTAGAGGCAGACAGGATGGAGCCAGGCAATTCTAATTATAGTTTTCTCATGTATTTTTATTTGGTAAATTCCAAAGTAATTCTACATTATTATTGTTCAAGATTTATATACACATATACCAACTACCCTTCAATTCTTTCTGTGTGTGATTCTTCTAAGGTGAAGAAGGAATAAGATGTTTAAAGCCTAATGGGTTCGTTGGTCGGTCATCCTCTTCATGGGTGAAAAGTTCATGGGAAGTATAAACAATTTATAATTAAGGGATCTGATTTAGTTCTGTATCTAATCTGAGTTTTTAATTTTCACTTTATCTCGTAATGATGATCGATGATGCTGCTGCTGCTTCTTTGTTGCATTTTCTTTCAGATATTCCCTTGGATTTCATCTGTTTAAATATGTGTAATTCTACTGGATTTATGTAATGAACACGAGGCTCCTATTGGCTACCAACAAACTAAGTCACGATTTTCTTATCATCCAAGTCATTATTGTGCGTTGATTAATTGTAATTAGATGATTGCTTGATCAGTTTGTTAATTGTTAGATGACATTGTGTTCGTATTTCGTACGTATTTATGATCTATCTGATTGCAAGGATCAATATTCCAGACTACAAAATTTCCAGAAAGTTTTCTTGAATCCCTCTACCTCCCTTACTATATAGTTCCGACTTGAATGTTTAGAGAATTTTTTTTTAAGGGCACCAACTTATTTCAGCGTCTAGTACGTACGTATAGATCTTTCGTCATTGTTATTGTCAATATTTATGTAAGTTTAAGATGAATCAAATATCAAGAAAATTATACATAGTCGATGCTGTAGATTGGTACTTATGTACCAGTGAGTGAATCACAGTCCAAATGTATTGACGAACAAACATATGGAATGTTAGGTACAAATTTACATTTAGACTCATGAGCCTTGGCACTGCAAATCTGCAACATGTCTGCGCAGGAACGGTTTAGCTTTTTGAAACTGAAGTTAACCGCACCGACACTTTTGGATTGGAATTTCTGTGGAATGGATATTGTGCAGGTGAAAAATACATAATTCATGTTTCTTTTAATTACTGGCTTCTCACGTGCTTGATAATAGATTATATATTTTTTATGGGAGAATTTCATTTGATGATATACATATATACTTCAGCTTTTTATATACGTATAGGTTGCTTCCCAGCTCCTTCGTTTGTTCAGATATTTCTGCTGTATACATATCTGTTAGTCTTTATTTTAGGGTTCTTGAATCCTTCATGTATTTTGAATTTTTTTTAGGGTTCTTGAATCTTTCAAGTATTTTGAATTTTTTAGAATGGAAATCGGCCTTCAATTATAGAGACTTTGTTATTTATTTTGAGGACTATATATATATATATATATATTCACACACACACACACATATATATATATATAATATTCACATGCTTGTTCTATTATAGCCGTGTGTTATAGGGCAGTGCGTATATGTTTTTTTGTCTGGCATCTTTCTGTCATGTTGTATACATAAGTCTGTCTATTCCAGGAAATCCAGGGTCAAGAAATGCGGCAATTTCCAATCATAATTTGCGTAAGGTGATATGAATGAACTATTTGCATGTATGAGCATAAAACTCGTCCTATCCTTTTGTGTTTTTTCTATTTCTCATGAATCAATCTATATAGGTCTGTATGAACATCAACAAGGACATAACCATATTCCTAACCATTTTATGTGCAGCTGACATGTCATTGCCATAGAATTTAGAAGGATAATGTTAAGGAGACGAAATTTTGTAAAACAAATGATGTGGCTGTTGATAATTGAATTATTATTGAAGTGTTGATTAACGTGCTTATTTCGTATTAACGACACATCATTTGATTTGCAAATTTGGTATAAAATTTTGATCTACCTAGCATTACTCTTTAATGAATGAATAATTCTATTTTATGTCAAAATTTATTCCTTTCATAATTAAAATTGTTTATTCCTAGAATAACTTGAAACACAAATGTGTTTTTTTTTTTCGGAACAAATGATATTATCTACACTAAGGAGGAGGGGGTGGACTTAGTCTCATAATGGAGTAGCAATAATGTGGTTCAAATTCGTTTTTGGTGAAAATCGAATCTAAGATCTCTTACTTATAAGTGAAGAGGAATACCACTAAACCATTGTACTAGATGATTACACACAAATGTGTTTTTAGATTAAACAAATGAATACATCAAATAATGGCTCTAGGGTTTCTAGGAGAGTCTCCCCCGTCTTGGGGCAGCGGCGTCCTTTATGGGGTAAATCGAATGATTTTCATCCTTGTTTAGGATGAGTGATTAAGGAAGATTATTGGTGGTGGCGGCGTAGAGTTGGCCATGGTGTTAAGTTTAGATTAACTAGTAGAGATAGAGCTAATTGGGCTAGTTTGTCTAAATGATTATTGGGCTCGGGTTTCCATTTGATTTGCTCAGCCATTGGGGCTGGGTAATTCGTAGATTTTGTGTAGAAGGGAGGGTTTGTGATCCTCAGAAGATGATTCGTCTGTTGTCATGGTTTGGCATGCTTACCCTGAAACCAGTGTTGTTTGGGTTTAGGTGTTTGAGATCTAAATATTAAGGCTATTTAGGGTTTTATAGGTTAAGTTGTTTCCGGTGCGTGGGGATTAACCAAGTTTAGTGGTGTGACACTTGGGTTGCCTGCCTTGATTAACATTTTATTTTGTTACAATTTTATTTTCGGTTTTTTATTTGATATTTTAATTTGCCTGCACATTTCTGTTTGGTGGTTAATTTCAATAATTATAAGAGATAGGTATATGTTCGTTTTTGGAGTAATATCATCATTAGTTCTAGTTTGTTGAGTCCTAGAATCAATAGTTGGCACTGTTCCTTCATGATAATCCTAGCTAGGGGTTTCAAGTGTTTTCAAGGAAGCTTGCATGCGGAGGCTTCTCCTTGGATACCTTCAAATCTCAGCCATTCAAGTTGGTGGTGCCGTCTGTTGGTTCACTCACTTCTGTCTTCTAGCCTTTTACCCTTTTGTCCTTCTATTCTTTTCCAATGGCCAACTCTCAATTTGCTGCTTTGAGTTCAAACCTAACCAGGAAAACCAAATTCTGTTCTAACCAATGTATCCCTCGTTGGGCTAACCCTTTTCCGGTTCCTCAACCTGCTGGGGAGGATCATGTAGTGGTGGATAAGGCATTTGGTACCTTGGAGCAAGGGGTTACAAGAGTTAGTACCAATCTGTGTTCTACTCTTAATGTTGAGCACGTGCAAGCTAGAGTTCTGATGGGAAATATGTTTGGGCAGCCTTTGGAGGCAAGGTTAATCAAGTGGAAGCTAGGGCTACTTTGGAAAAATGATGTTAAGCACACTTTCTACCTTGACCATTATGGTAGGAAGTGGTTGGCTTTAGAATTCACTGGAGTGTGTTCTAACAACCGCCCATGGTATGTCCGTTGACAAATTTTCTACTTGGAGAGGTGGACGCCTAACTTCAGTTATTTGGACACCATCTATAAGCTTGTTGTATGGGCGAGGCCGCCTAGGCTTCCTGTTAGGTATAAGGAGGAAAATATTATCAAGGTGATCGCTCAACCTTTGAGTGATATCATTAAGGTTGATGAGATCCCGCTGGTTCTGAACGGTGTTTTTGTTAAGGGTGTTGGTTGAAGTGGGTTTGCATTTTCCTCTGAAAAAGGTCCTCATTATCCATAACGATGATGATCACCCAATTCTAGTAAGTTATAAAAAGCTTTTCGAGGTGTGTTTTTATTGTGGTAGAAGAAGGTTTGATGGACATGAGTGTGCAGAAGGTGAAGTGGATAATAGTTGTTTTCTTATTGAGATGGTGTTTGAGATGAGCGTCTCATCTATCCTGGGGATACTAGGGTAGATGAAGAAAGTGAAGTGGAAAATAGTTGTTTTCTTATTGAGATAGTGTTTGAGATGAGCGTCTCATCTATCCTGGGGATACTAGGGTAGATGAAGATGTGAAGGGAGCCTTGCAAAATGATGTGATGTAGTGTTTTCCTTTTCATGATGATGAAGCGGTGGACAGTGAAGAGATTTGACAGAAATTTGGGTGGGATCACCATGAGGAAGATGGGTGGACTACGGCAGCCCCAAAGTGGAAGAAGAAAGTAGAGAAGCGTCAACTGAGTGAGAAGATGGGGGAGGGCAGGTCTCAGAGGGATTTGGGCAAAGAGGGGAAAGTTGCAAAGTACAAGTGGACACTTAGGGCTGACCTAGTGCAAGACTGGAGAAGGTCTCCGAGGCATGAGGATGCAATGAATGAGGTAAAGGTTAAGTGGATTTGTGTCTTACATGCTAAGTTTACTATTTTAAAAATAAATTATATGTGTGTGATTTGTTTGTGGTGTGATAAGTATAGTTGCTAGAATAGGAAAATAATTAGGTTCAAAATTATTATTGTTGTTGGTGCTTATGTTTGCAATATGAACCTTTTTTTTTATTCATAGTGACGCCATTGTTATGGGTTGGTATATATGCTGAGGTAATTTGCTTGTTCAAGACATTGTTTATGTGAGGTAAGTAGGATAGCTGATGATAAGGGTCCAACTGTTAGGGATGTTGTGGATGCTGTCGTGGCTGAAGAAGGAAATTTGCTGCCGCCACCACCACCTAGGCCTAGAGTTGGAGTGATGAGTCCGAAGAAGGGGATCCGTGAGGAGTTTGTGAACCAGGAGTTAATCCTAGCTGGATAAATACTTTTAAGGATGCAAAGCTTCCTAGTTACCCTATTTTTGGTTCAGATCATAGTCTCATTTTCCTTTCAAGTAATGAAGTTTCGAAGAATAAAAGATATGGACAATTTCAATTTGAAGCAGTGTGGCTTCATCACCCTGATTTTAAAACGTTTGTTAATATAATTCTTGGAAGTGGTGACGATGGGATATTACCTAGAGATTAGTTTAGATCCTGTGCGGGAACTTTCAAGTACTTAGTCGGTAATTGGAATAAAAACGCTTATGGCAACGTTAGCGACAAAAAAGATCTTCTGAAAATTAGTGACATTTAGGAAAAGAATATGAATAATTCGAATGCATTATTTAGATTTGAAATTACACCTCAAAAATGAGTTGCAACAAGTGCTAAAGCAAGAAGAGATTATGTGGCTCAGATGGCGAAAGTGAATTGGCTTAAGCTTAGAGATCAAAACACAAGGTACTTCCAAACGAAAGCCACAGTAAGGAAAAAAGGGAATGAAATTTTCAAAATTTAAACTGATCGTGGTCCTCTGGTGGTTTACTGGGGGAGGGTTGGAGCAAGTTTTTGTGCAAGATTTTAAAAGGCGTTTTTCCTATGATAGTCCACCGTCTCTGGCAAATCTTAGGACCATGACTTGAGTTATTCACCATTGCGTCACTGATGTGAATAATTTGAAGTTGGATGCTCCTATTTTGGATGATGAAGTTTGTGATGCTGTTAAAAGTATAGGAGCACTGAATGCCTATGGCCCTATGGTTACATTGTTGGTTTC